GTGCTGAAAGTACAACCCATCGCAACCCAACTGATCATAAGTATAGGCTGGCGCGTCCAATTTTTTGTGGCGACTGCACCACATATTCAAGGTGAAAGTTAGCCTGTCTTGGGTAGAGGCAGCCACTCGTTTAAGGAGCTGGGTTCATGGCATCGGCTGCGGGGGTTTTGGATACGTATTGCACACGCCCGTCCAACTTTTTCCGCTTCGTACCTTGTGCGCGGTTGCTGGACAGAACTGGAAGGCGGCGCGGTGAACGACCCACAACTTGGAGAAGCGGTATGAAGAAGTTCACAAAACCGTTGACTTCAGTTAGTTGTTCTCGGTTCCCTGGTAGTGGTCCCATAGATTCGAAATGTCGCTGATTGCAGACCCTAAGATAAGACAATGATAAATCACCAGCTGTACGCCATAACGACTCTTCGCTGCCTCGCGACCGCCACGAGTCGCGCGCGGACTGAGTATACTGCGGTGATGCCCACTCACGCGGATTCGAACCGATGACCTAGAGGTTACAAGCCAGGCGTGCAGTCCTTTCGGCCACCGGCCGACCCTGGATATCATGGCACAAGACTGACGTCAGTGGCAGACATGTATCTCTCTATGTTACGGAGACCCCCTCCATCAACAGATTGTTATATATACATTCAGGTCATGGCACGACCTTAAGCCTTAGGCTCACTGCATTGGACATGGCTAACAATGTTAGTTCTAGGTACCATATTTTAAATTGCAACCACTTCCTGGCTTTGGATATCTCCCCATCGCAATGAGGCTGAACCTTACCGTGGTGCGATGGTTTGCGTGCCTCAGAGATCCATTGAGCTATGCTGGGTGGTGCTTTCTTGCACCTTCAGAGCCACTCATACCAGATTGGTTAATGGTTAGAGGCCAGACAAACTCAGCCTCCTTGTCCTCCAGGTTGAGGGTTGGAATGACGGCGGCACCTCATTTCATAAAACGGGCTCTGTAGTTCAGTGCCAAAACCCGCTGCCTTGCGGTGCGGTTTTTGAACCAAAGGCTTTGGTTGAGAGCCCTAATCGTTGTCCTGTCTAGTCCTGGGCAACCTAACAGTATTCTGCCCACGCAATACAATGAACCTTTCCTACAACAATTTCTTGATGCTCTGGCCGTCGCAGAGGATAATAAACGGCGCCCTATCTGCTGCATCGAACAGCGTGGATAGTGGTATGGATGCTACTACTCAGGCCTTCCCGTCTTCTTATACCCCTTCTTACCCTTCTTCATCCTTATCATCCCGCTCCAACTTTACCTATATCCCCCCATTTTCAGTCCCCCAATTCTTGGCCCTCCTCCAGCTTACTTCAATAGTCGCTTGTCTTCTAATTTCAAATCACACACAATCGCAGGGCATCGCTCCAATCCAGTCGACAAATCCATGTTCAACCAAGCGGACAATAGTTCATCCGTTTCCCTTTGGAGTCCTCGCGTCTCGCTAAGACTGGCATGCCTCAACGTGCGCACTTTGCTGCAGATTGGCCAACAGGCGGCACTTGCCCACACACTAGAGACCCTATCGATCGATATTTGCTGTTTATCAGAAACCCGCCTGCAAGGTTCGAGCTCCGTGCTTACCCTGAGATCCCCCACATGCGACACTGGCGGCACATTCTCATTGCGCCTGTCTGGCGATGATGCAGCTTCAAATGCCGATCAAGCTGGCGTCGGCATTTTTTTGAGTCCCCGGGCTGAAGCTGCCTTGATTGGTTGGATCCCAGTAAACGGTAGGATGTGCGCCGTTAGATTAGCTGGTTCGTTCCGTGCTACGAAGTCGCGCGGGGACAAACGTTGCCTGTTTGTCATTGCGGCTTACGCCCCTACAAACTGTAGCACTGATCCGGTAAAAGATGATTTCTATCAGCAACTTCACGATCTCCTTCGTTACAGAAGAAGCACGAATATTGTGGTGTTGGCTGACGATCTAAACGCACAAGTCCGAAAATTGTCCTCTGATGAGCTTCATCTGGGCGGCCAACATGGTGTAGGCTCCCGTAATGATAACGATGAGCGATTGCTACAGCTGTGTGAAGATGCTCGCCTCTTTCTCGCGAGCACTAACTTTTGACACAGCACCCGCAGAAGTGTGACTTGGCGGTCACCAGCCTTGGGCCAACCATGGACGCAAATCGATCGTATCGCGATCAGTTACTGCTGGAGAGGCTGTGTCCAAAATTGTCGTTCGATTTGGAGCACGAGCGTGGACTCTGACCACGCACTTGTCTGTGCCGACCTCCTGGTGCGTTTCGCTGGACGTCCGTAACGTCGATGTGAACGGATTGACACCAGCCAGCTGGCGAAGCCAGATGTTCTGAATGTGTACCAAAGTGCGCTGACATCTGGACTGAGTAAGCGCCTACTAAACACCGTTGAAGATCACTGGTCGCATATTCGTCAAGCGTTGCTGTTAGCAGGCATGTCTTCATGTGTCAAAGCAAATTTCCAAACCGGACATTGGGTCTCTACACAGTCTCTGGAACTTATGGATGCTCGCCGACGTATTCCGGTTGGAAGCGAATACAATGAGGCTCGCAAAAATTCTCAGGGCAAAACTAGGTGCTAGCCTAAAAAAAGACTGCGAAACCTGGTGGTCTCATCGTGCCTCTGAGATGGAAACAGCCGCTGCCGTTGGTGATCATCGTAACTTATTCCGTCTGATACGGGAAACAGGCAGCAGGAGACCTGGTGTTAGCGAGACCATATGCGACGAGAGTGGGCAGTCGATCCACAGCCTGTCAAAACGCTTGGAGCGTTGGGCTGAACACTTTGCAAGGCAATTTAACCAACCTGAGTTATCGCTTTCTTCTTCTGGCATTGAGCGCCCTTCTCCTTGGACCGTCTCCTCGGATCCGCCCTCGCGCGCAGAAGTCGAACGTGAGATCAGGCTGTTGAAATTGCATAAGGCCGTAGGCGCAGATAGAATTCCCCCAGCCCTCTTCAAATTCGGGGGACCTGCTCTAGTAGATGATTTACACAAGTTGCTAATAAAACTTTGGGAGCAGGAGACAGTCCCGACAGACTGGAACCGCTCCGTCATTGTCCCAATTTTCAAGGGAAACTCCCGTTTGAAATGCGGCAATCATAGAGGGATCAGTCTGATTTCGATTGCCTCTAAATTGCTTGCCTCTGTCATTCTCCACAGACTGACTGGCACTCGTGAAAGCCAGATTCGTGAAGAGCAAGCCGGATTTCGTCGAGGTCGGGGCTGCATCGACCACATCTTCACATTGCGTCAAGTGTTGGAGCACCGCCATGTTTATTGGCGACCCACCGTTGTCGTGTTTCTTGACATAAAAGATGCCTTCGACTCAGTCGATCGATATGCCCTTTGGGACTGTCTGCTGAGGAAAGGTGTGCCTGATAAATATGTAAACATTATCAAAGCGCTGTACGCACATAGTTCGGGCAGGGTGAGGGTTTATGGCAAACTCTCGCCACCCTTCAGTATCACCAGCGGTGTGCGACAAGGATGCCCGCTGTCACCTTTCCTCTTCAACTTCGCTATTGATGAAGTCATGGAAGCAGCGTTCGCTGGACACGACCTAGAAGGTGTGGAGCTACTTCCTGGTGAGCGACTTCTTGAATTGGAGTATGCGGACGATATTGTCCTAATCTGTGACAGCCCCCAAACATGCCAAACAGCACTGGATTGATTAGCACTGGCTGTCAATCGTTTTGGGCTATGCTTTGCTCCATCGAAATGCAAAGTACTTCTGCAAGATTGGCAGGGACCCAACCCTGCACTAACGCTTGGTGGTGATCTGCGAGAAGCCGTTCAGGAATTCAAGTACCTGGGCAGCTATATTAGCACCCGTGGGATTGAAGATGAGGTTACGAACCAGATAGCAAATGAGGTGCTTTTGCGAATCTCCGCCACCTGTGGCGCAGACGCCACAATGCTCTCGCCCTGAAGGGCAGAGTTTACAACGCAGCCGTCCGTTCAGCTCTCCTTTATGGCTGTGAAACCTGGCCCATCAGATCGACAGACATGAAGAGGCTCGTCACATTCGATCATCGCTGCCTTCGCAGCTTAGCTCATGTCTAGTGGGAACACGGCGTGAGCAGTGGGCGTGTTCGGCGTCGCGTATTTGGTGCAGGAAGAGCGAGTGAAGCGCTCAGCACCATTATATCACGCACCAGGCTCAGATGGCTGGGCCACGTGTTGCGCATGCCAGCACACCGACTCCCGCGACGTGCATTGTTTGCGCGTTGTGGGTGCGGTTGGAAGAGGAGGAGGAGAGGCCAAGTGATGACTTGGTCAAGAGAAATGAAAACCCTCACTTCGAAGTTGGCGTCGGTTGGTGCATCCCGACTGCTTGGCTGGGGTCCTAAGGACGGTGAACACGTTTGATTGGACACACTTGCTGATATGGCTTGGAGCTGGCACCAATGGCGTTTGTGTTGTGATTTCCTTTGTCCATCCCCCTCCTGTTTAGCATCCTCCTCCAATCAAGATCTCACCTGTTAGACATAATACGACTCTCTTTTATGGCAGCCAGCTGTTAGCTCTCCGGAACGATGTCCATCCGTTACTGGGGACTCAGCGGGCGTGCCACTGTTTTCCTTTTCTTGTCTTTTGTATTGCGGCACAATAGCTGTGGTGTTTTCCACCTTCAGCTAACGTGTAATGATGATGATGATGATGATTGGATATTTCGGCCCTTTGAGTGGGACGATCTCTAGCTGAGGGTGCGAGCCTTACGCGTAGACCTCGGTCCCCATCCTCCTAATTTCTTTAGTCTACTTTCAATCATTCATTTGTTGTTCTATTCGACTTAATCATTGTTTGCTACCTGAACAGGAATTTCGGGTGTCGTTCTCATTTATTTGCTGTCGCTTACTAATGCATTCATTCTCCACTTACACCTCAACTGTGTTGCCGAATACTGGTGTTAAAAGCTACTGTTTCTTAATCCGCGTTATTTCACTTTTTTCATCACTAGGAGCCATTGTCTGTTTGTTTTAGTTGATTTGTTTTGCTTATGCCAATCGTCTACCTTATGTCTAGTGAGAATTTTGCCGTTCAATTTCGTACTTCTATTCATCTGTTAGACGTTCCGAAGACACGGTTCCTATTCGTGTTTGTATTGCACATCCTATCTTATTCCAGTCCTACGATGTTGCGACCGAAAGCGCTGGCAGAAACGCTGAAAAAGGTGACCACTGGTGGTGTGCAATCGGTGATGTTGTTTAACTCCGAGGGGGTTTTACTTGCTTTTACGAGCCATCTTGACGATGCTGAACGATCGAAGGCTGCAATCACTGCCAATATTTGGAACATTTATCAACGTCACCTTGAGTCAACTGAGTCAGTGAGTTGGAACGGTTTTTGTAAGGCGCGACGCATGACATTGCACTGGGTTAAGTCGCCAACAGAAGCTTACTTTGGAACGCATCTCGTAAAACAGATGGGCAGATTTAGTAGGCCCTTAAAAACGCCGTGGCACGTTATACAAATGTCACCAAGACATTTACCTTGCCCACCAACTCGCTTAAAAGTACCATTCCTTCGTTTTATTCCCTTTCAAAGTGGTTGAATATATCACGAAGCAAACTATCTTTTTCTGCAGTAGGGAATATGCCACCTGTATGCTGACATTAGCTAGGCTTGAAATATTGTCACCCATCTATTTTAGTTGCCGTAACTGACTTAAAGACTGTCCTCGATGCCATCCTGTCAACTCCATCAACACAATGTGTGCTGTGTAAGCGTCTTGACTGCTCTCGTCAGTCGAAAACCCATTAACTGCACGAAAAAATAAGCACTTAATTATATTGGACTCCTAGTAACACGGATAAGCTTGCACGGCGATTATTTCACAGTGCACAATCAGGTTCAGACAAATCTGACGGATTGTTCTTGTACATGTAATAATATCAGTAGCATCCAACGAATTGGCATCACTTTCCGAATGGTAGGGTACAGTAAAACTGAACGATTTCACTCTGTTCAGTTGACGACGCTTTGTGAATCCATCCACAATTCGGACGTTTTAAATTGATGGATGGTGTCCCACTACATTGTAAAGTGCACGATCGGGGGAGGGGACAGAGCGGTAAGTCACATCGTTTAACTTGAACTCGGTGCCGGTCTTCGGCAGAATTACACATGAAATGGCCTAGCGTTTCCTCGGTTTTATGAGCATATATCGTTATCAAAGCTGCAGATTTCAGCCCATGGGTGCATTCAAATATTATTCAGATTACAAAGTGTGATAGCTGATTATTCGAATAGTGCGGGTCTCATGTAATCTGGTTACTAGTAAATACAAGTCTGGCTGCCAACGATGCCATGAACGGGTGTTCTTCCTGCGTGCTTCCACATCACGGTAGTCAGGCGATTTAGGATGGACCACCACCGCGTACAGACGTGCGCGCATCACTTTTGCCTACACTGTGCTAACGAGGGGACTTCTTAGTTCGTTATGGTTTTTACTTGACTAACGGAAACAAGACGAAGACGACGCAAAATCTCGGCCGATTTGCAACCTACCAATCGTTTTTTATGAACCTCACGTACCCAAGTATTTGCAATTTTGTTGTCAGTCCGCAGTTGGTAACTTTGTGTATTCCTGTGTTCTAGCGATCTTTTTGTATTATTTCATGAGCAACTGATTTCGCAGCTTGTTTTCAAAATACCATATTTATGACTATCGCAACTTTTGTATTAATTTTCTCATTTATGTATTGCGGCACAGTACCTGAGGTGTTTCCCGCCTCTAGCTGACGTGTATAATGATGATGATGATGATGACTATCGCAATTATTATCTAACTTTTCTATCTGGCATAATGCTCTCAGCTGCCCTGGTTCTATATCCCGTTTGTGTACTAATAACGCATAGCCCGTTTTACTTTTCATCATTCTTATATGCTTTGATCAGCATTTTTTCGATGAGGCATTCTGGTTGCTTTCGCCAAAGCATTCACACTTGCTCTGCAGGTTGTTATACATAATGCGACTCTCTATTTACGAGCATAGTTCTTGATGAGGGAACCAGCACCAGGCACCGTGAGTGGTGCGTAAGCGTATTTGGTGTTTCCATTTCAAAATACAATGGCAGATACTGCCGTGATACCGCTGTGTTTAAACGCGATTTCTTGCATCCAGCTGTTAATTTTCTTTCCTTCCCGATTGGTTTTGTGCACTTCTTTCTTAATTTCATTTTCTTTATATTCAACCTCATCTTTGTACCGTTGTTATTTATCTTTATTTTGGCGACGTAAATCATAGCGACTGGATTCACCACTTCAGCTGAATTGAAATACTATCATTTGGAATGAAGGCGGTAACTTTCAGCCTTAGCTTTCGTCTGTTTAGATTTGTCCCGTTTTCGTTACAATCGTTTTCATTGAAAAGCACCTCTCTAGCGTTACGTTTCTGTCTTCACTACTATTCGAAAGAGGAAATTGATCGTCATAATTGTGATTGATTTCTGTTCGATGGAATTACCATCTTGTTTTAGCCACAATACGGCTGTGTCAAGATGGACATCTTCCTGCTCATTTCCGTTTCTCAGCCACAAATTCTCGTCCACTTTCCCTGTCTTCAACCAACGACATCCGTACACACTGTGGGTGTCTGAAACAACTTGACTTCGGTTTATTCACTTACTCAACTATCATTCGTTCACCGAAGTGCGGTGACTATAGTTATAGTCCATTTCGCTATGACGATGATAATAATAGCAATTTAAAAAAAGACAAAAAATAACTTAACTGCGCGAACAAAATTTAAGGGAAAAGGAATCCAAAGCGTTAAATTTAAATGCACATTAGCTGACAAAGTAACAGTAACATGCTGCAACGCCATTAGTTTCACGACTACTCTGCATTGGAAATTCTTCTACATCTGGTACGGTCTCCTTTCAGGGAGGCATTATTTGATACTTCGAAATCGAATGTACTAGTATGCCTGTCTGTGACATTTGAGACTGTCCTGCTCGTGACCACTTCAGCCAGGCGTCTCGCTTTTGCTCTCTAATTTTGCTTCTTTTTTCAGGATACAGTACAAGAGATTTTGCTGGAACTCACGGAGGGCCGCTTTATTGTTTGCAAAGTTGCATCACTACTTCTGTGTCTTCATAGCACCAAAGAAGTGCCTCTTGGAATGCTTCGGGTTAAAGCGTCATCTCTTGTTCAAACGTTGAGTGAGCCCTTAAAAATGACCGCTAGCTCCTAACCTACGTTACCACCGGTATTTTTGTCAACAATGTCATCAGATTGATTACCGCTTGTTGTGTACATATTTTTTGCCAATACAATATACAAAAACAATGGCCGCGGTTTTGTGTCGAACCTTCCTATTAGTGTGCTGCTATTTTATCTGTCTCGCAGCCACTCTGCGCTTGTCTACTCATTGAGTTGCTGAAAATACCCGATTTTTTAAATCTTTTTTGTAAGTCAGATTTCGGAGAATTGTGCCATAATCGAAACAGAACCTAGAATGTTGGTCTTTCTCTTTTGAGCGGTGTGGCAATTCCCCTCATCTTATTACATGGAATAATTTGGTTTCATTTGTCTCCGTACCTGATCGAGTGGTTCAGGCGTCACCGGCTCGAACCAGCGTTGGTGCGAGCGACGCCGCAGTATTACTAACACGCACTCAACTGGTGGAGGTTGCGTGGTAGCAAAGCATCAGTACGATGCACCAGCTTAGTACATCATTCCTCCTCGTAACAGTCACCTTAGTCCGAACTCAGACACTTGTAGGGTAGCACGTAGTATTATGGAACAGTCACTGTTCTGCGAATTCGTTCTGTTGCTCGACGGGTTGATGTTTTCTACTTCCGTTCACCTCCTTTAATGTGGTACTGCAATTTGGCTAATACCACAGTGGTGCTCTTTGTCTCACTTTGTTCCGTGTATATGTATATTTCATCATTGGCATCTAGTATTACTTCGATTGCAAACTAATATGGGTTACTTTGTGCGCATCCCGGAACTTTCCTACATCCACCTAAATGAAGTTGCACAGTGTTCACCAAAATGATCCTCTTCCTTTGTTATTGATTGCTCAGTGTGCATAACAATTACTTATCTCAGCCTACTCTTTTGTACTATTGTTCGCCTACGGGAGGCCTATATGGATGCCTAAATTACTTCTACTCTTTGGTAAACCTCATGCTGATAGAACCGCTCGTCTACGCATCGTCTTTCTCATGGGTCTTTCTTATGCCGATTCTGCTGCACCAATCCGACCAACTGCCTTTACTTTGTCTTCTCTTCCTTTACCTAGATGCGCTAACTCAGGAAGGCGATCTTATGTACGTCCATCACTTTGCAGTCCATTCGTTCTGCGGTTGATATTTTTTGCTTTTGTTTTATTTGTACGAATACCGTCTGGCGCATATAAACTTTTTCCCTTCCACAGGTTCTCACTATTTCTGTCTTGGCCATTTTCGCCTCTGACCGGATCACAATACTAACCAACATTTTTAAGTCATCTGAATGTATCGTAACGAGCCCCGCTGCGATCATGTTCTCCAAACTGCGGATGCGGATGACATTGTGTCCAAGGAATCAGACAAGAATATCTCCCAGTCCTCCCTCAACACTGCTTATCCCACTGTTACTTGTCAGTTAGATGCTAAGTCCAGCATTACGGATCATGGGCATAAATACCTGACGGATGGTTCGTATCACAGTTTTGGCGATAGTCACATGACCACAGTTCGAGACGATACAAAGCAGGATGTCAATAACGTCAAGTCAAGGTGCACTGACACGGGCCATCAGCCTACATGCTGTTTGGCTCGCACACCTTCGTCCATCAAACCATTTTTAGCCGGCTCCGCCTGTTCTCTCCCAGGACCAGAATGTGCCCCAGCGCCCTTTTCACACGACCCTTTGGCCCAAAAAGCGAACAACGATTGCGACTACTCTATTCGAATTACTACCGAAATGGCTATGGCTGGCGTAGGTGAGTTTCCTAGGGACGGTGTAGCATATTATATTGATGTATGGCTTTACTCTTCCCCTGTACTTGGAAGTTGCTGAGCAGCGTCCACGTGCTCTGCTTGGCTGTATAGCCCCGTCCACTTGCTGCTATTTTCAATTTTACGTGCCATTTATGCGCTTTTATCCCATATTTTGGGATCAGTTTCCATAATCTATCGGTAGACTGAATACTCATTCGCTGTGTTCCTCCGCCTGTTCTCTGTCTCTGTAGGACACTGCTGAGTGCTTAATCTGTTTGCTTTGCCAAAAAACACGTATTTCTCTAACTGGTGTTCACATACTATGCAGTAGGCATTCGCGAATAGATTGTACTGAAAACTCGCGGCTCTGCGCATAGATAAACCACCTTTTTGATGTGCGTCACTTCGATGGAATCGAGAAGTGGTTCTTACTAGTACAGGGTGGCGCACGAAATGTCATACCAATTGTTACGCTTGTATTTGCCATCAAAATATTACAGAATTAGTGCATTATTAATTGTATGAGTATGGAAATTTAGTTCAGCGTATTATGTGTTCAATGTAATCACCATTTTGCTTCCATGTTTTCTACATTTTCGGGGGGTGTGGACACTTGGTCTGCGCCGTCAATTCTTCTCCACCACAGAGCCAGTTGTTTCAAATCGGCGATACAATCTCTGAATAGTCTGTTTACATGAGGCCCATTTTGTACGAAAGTGTGCACGAACACCTCTTTGTGTCGCTACAACTCTCATTTCTGTAAAAAAAAGTTACAACTTTCACCTTATATTCAATATGCGATCTCCTCTTATGCGCTATCTTGAAAATTCTGTTTGGCGCCATACAAACTTCTCGTGACATCTACCGGATTTTCCATAAACCAGAATATATGAATACGAGTTTTCAACATTACATCTATATTGTTACATATGTAATGAACAAAGCAAGTGGTATGACATTTCGTGCGCCACCGTGTAGCTGAAAATATGCAGATGTTGGAACAAAATTTCGTCTGAGTTGCAAGGTGTTTTTGCCTCGAACTCCCAGCTTATGTTTTTTTTCTACTTAATGATTGTCTAATCCTCCTTAAATGATAGCTCCAAGACCAATTCGCGTATACGCAGACGGTGCGTATGATATGTTCCATTCCGGACACGCGCGACAGCTTATGCAAGCTAAGTGCAGATTCCCGAATACCTACCTGATCGTCGGCGGTGAGTTCACAGTCCACACCTTTCCATCATAGTCATAATTGCTAGTTGTCACGGTATTACCGAATACTCATTCTTCATACTCGATTTGTGTGCATATGCAGGTCTTACTTATGTTCATTGTCTGTTTCTGCTCCTGGTTCAGCACCCAGCCTCTCATCTATGTTCTAACGTACGAACTTATACTCAACTTGATGTCATTTATCCTACTAGGCCTAATCCCTCAGATACACGGTTCACATCTAAGTCAACAGCTTCCTTTTAGACCGATTATATTGGCCACGTTTCCCAAGCTCACTGGTCCTTACCTGTGGTGAAAGCAAGATTTCGTTGATTGTGTTCCAGCAAATTTCATTCTTTTCGTCTCTTTATCACGGAGATCCACAGGTTATCCCTTTGTGGTGTTTGCTTATCATTTGTCATTGAAAACCGTGATTTGAGCAGGTATCATTGGCATGAGTAGCATTGTAGTCATCCTATTCGCGCACATAGTTCCTGTAGTAAATGTGAGTTGTTTGTTTTGGAAACATGCCAGATATGCTTGCACCTCATGATCACTATGCGTGAAGTTATAATAATAATAGCACATATATTTCTCTTGATAAGAGAAACTGTCTATAGCGGCACCGATCACTTTGTACAGAAGAATCCATGCTCTTGCATGGGCGGGATGCATAGGTGGAGTATTGGGATATGCGTTTCATGTATTAACATTCTGCCTGATGGTTGAGGCCAAAGCCTAGTTATGAAAACATTAGTGTTTATATATTTTTGGGCCCCTCTTGGAATAGCTCATCGAGGGCTTTTTCCCATGTGAATATAGAGCTTAGGGTAGTTAGATCAAGGTGATTGGCGGGTCCGCTACTAAATGTTACCACATTGTCACATGGCCTGAGTGTTATTGGTAGTTTATTCCACAGATAGCTGTATCTGACCAGGCAGAAATTAGAGCAGACGTTCGTTCTAGCCTTCGGTATATTCAACGTGCAATTTTTGTTGCGAAGCGCTCGAGTTGAACAATGTTGCAAATTCAGTGTAGGCAGGTTGGAATAGATCTTTCTGTGTAACATGTTGAAAAGCAGCAACAAGTAGTACTTCAATCGTCGAATTCCACATGGTTCGAGATGAACTTCATTGCAACAGTCTCGATAACTCATAGCAGGGGGTTTACCAATCAGATGTTTAGTAAATGACCTCGGCAGGTGCTCCACATCAATTCTGTCACTCTCATATTTCCGTATATTATGTTGCAGTATTCGAAGATGGGGTGAGTGACTAGCTTGAAAAGCTCAAGTCTAGCACGAGTTGTGTGTATTTTGTTCCATATTTTGAACATAGACTGTCTGGCATGTGCTACTTACTATTGGGCTTGTTCGGAGAAATTGAAGGTAGACGAGTACCTAATGCCATGATCTCGCGTGGACTACTGTGTAGGGACGCGTTCATTGTTTAGGGTGATAGATCCTTCGGGGATGCAGCAGCCGTAAGACATGATGCTTGATTTCTTATTTGAAATAAATGAGAATATCTGTAGCTCGGGGTGTGGATGCGGATTTTGAGCAGTTCTCCGAGCTGGGTAATTATTTTGCAGACGTTTCGTTGCCTGACTAGGCAACATCATCAGTGCGGCTTCAGGGGTCTGGTTCGCAGTGCCTCGTAAGCGACTTCAATGTCCAATGGACATTGAAGTCGCTTACGAGGCACTGCGAACCAGACCCCTGAAGCCGCACTGATGATGTTGCCTAGTCAGGCAACGAAACGTCTGCAAAATAATTACCCAGCTCGGAGAACTGCTCAAAATCCGCTTGATTTCTTAGCCGAGAGGTTCATCACCCATGTGAAGTACCATGACTCAAGGGAATGTAGATCATCTTGAATGAGTAGTAATGTCCCGTGAAGCTCATCACGCCGAAACTTAGACTAGTTTGATATCGTCAGCAAATAAAAATGATGTGCCATGTTTTACTGATGTCGTGATGTCCTTGATGTAAAGCAAAGAGAGCAAGGGGCGGAGCACGCTCCCTTGGATGACTCCACTGGTGATTCAGCGTGGGGAAGAGCGATAATCACCTCATATACTACATCAATGCACAGTGCTAATGTGTTCCTACAACCTTCTTGTATTGGGTAATAAGGTTATCCTCATTCAACACGTATGCTGCCGCTGAGAAGTACCTCAACTACTCTGCTGCATTACAGCGCAATACTGTCATCTTGCAACAGAAGTTATTGCTCGCGGGAAATAGACGAGCATCTTCGCACAGATATAACAACCCCTCACTTTTATCAATACGGGAGTCTACACCGTGTTGGCCGCCCATATGAAACTCCTCAGTGGACAAATTTTCAACTTGAGTGTTCAGATCACCAATCGGCACAACAGTACCCATACTTTTTCGGTGACAAAGCTCGTTCAGTTGGTGATAGAATTCATCTTTCCCCGAAGCATCGCCACAGTTTGTGGGCGCGCAGGCCGTAATGACAAACAGGCACCGTTGGTCCCCGCACGAGTTTGAAGCTTGGCACGAGCCAGTCAGTCTGACGACGCACTTCCGGCTGTTGATTGGGATCCAATCGATCTGGGCAGATTCGGTCCGGACGCTCAGAGCAATACCGACACCGGCTTATTCGGCATTTGAAGATGCGTTATGTTCTGGTAAGAGCAAGGAGGAGTTGTCACCTATGTCACATGAAAAGTGTTGTAGAGCTGGATTCTTGCAGGCGGGTGTTCGATAGGCAGCACATATCGATCGATTGGATCTCTAGTGTTCTTGCAAGTGCGGTTTTTAGACTGATCTGCGCACGTTGAGACTTGCGAGGATTGAGCGCTACACGTAGAAACGGATGAACTGACGTTGTCAGTTTGATTACACATGAGCTTGTCGATTGGACCCGGTCGACGCCTCGCAATTGAACGAGTCTAGACTAGAACCAGGCGACCGTCGAGACAAGGTAGGTGAGGGCGAAGGATTCCGTTGGTTGAATAAAGGTGGGATAAAAATGAAATTGGAAGATGATAAGGATGAAACAGTATAAGATGGGCAATATGAAGACGGAAAGGCGTGAGCAGTAACATCTCTCACCGTAACCACCCTGCCTAATGCAGCAAATAGCGCGCCGATTGTCTTCTGCGACGGCCAGACTATCGAGTTGTTTGAAGAGGAGTAATACTGTGTCTTATTCGACGCATTTGTAATTACCCTGTCGCAGGTTATGTTGTAACACACTTGCTGCAGAGACATGGCCCTAATCGTAGCGAAAGATTCGGCTCATGAGAATAAGTTGCTAATCGAATTCTGATTGATGCGTCCAACGTGACTTAGCTGCCCAACAGCTTCCACACCGAAGCTAACACGGAGACAGCACGACTGCTTGCGATCCCCGAAAGAGTAAAGGACAATGACCTTCAACTGATGCGCTTTTACGACTCAAACCGACGGGGATACAAGAGTTTTACAGCTTGGCACTTATAGTACCTCGAGTCTCGTCATCGGACGGCAGTCATATTGTTAACGCCATTACCACCCGATAACAATTGACCAGTGTATTTAGTCGAGTAGCACATTTATCACCGATAAACGATATCTGTGAGTGATCATGCAGTGGATGACCTAGCAACAATGTCTCTGAGAAGAGAACGTAGATTGCTGTGACCGGGTAACGTTGCCACCGACAAGGCATTGCAAAGTTGAAAAATGTGAAAAGACGTTTGTTTGGTGTGAGGTTTTTGTTGAACCATGAGATCACAACACTTAACCACACTGCTTGACAGACTTGACCACTCCCTTGGTATAATTTTTTCTCTATGGTTGGCGTGTTGGACTCCATTCTGGCGCAACGCTTGTTGTTGAAAGTAAGACATTATCGTTTTCCATTGTGCACGGTGTGTGACGAAGTGTTTTGGGGCACCTACATTGGTTGTTTCCGTTGTGTGAATAAGGTCATCCGAGCTTCGATCTGCATGGCATGTGCTGATTATAGCGAGCACTATGCGCTCGTTCAAGCGTTAGCATGCCCTGCGTGCTTGCAGGCCACCTGCCTTGGCGCATATTGCTGGCCAGTACTGCGCTCAGTTGGGTAAAATCCCGAGTCGACAAATGTTGACATCAATAAACCGGATAAAATACATGTACAGTCGAACCAGGATGATAGTTGTCGTCTGCCCGGAGTGGGACAATGGAGGTCGGCCACAGTAATGATTGCATAACTACCGGATATGGCTCCATCACAATGTCAGGGGTGCTGTTGCATTCGTTCTCTTATTTATGTATCTTAACCGTTTCACTCAACGCTACTAACTCATGTTCATTCATTTCTAATTATTGTTATTATTGTTTCTTTTTGAACGTGCCTCAAGGCGGCTGAACTTACTATACACCGATGCCTAGGTGAAGTAGCCGAGACCGGTGATTTAATTAATTTCCCAGAATTCTGCCACCTGGACCAGAAGTTACTGATCGTGTTACACAGATGTCTGTTGTCAGTTCTTGTTCCCCAAACGAAGTTGTATGCATGAACTTGTTCTACATCTTCCTCGGTAGGGTGACTTGACGTTACCGTGTTATCGGGTGACCAGAGAATCTTAAAGTAGCCTTCAACCAAGTTCAGCTCAGCTATTCGATGGCGAAATGCTATTAGTGAAACGACGTTTCAGAGTGATGCGGAAAACGGGTGGAATTTAAACAGGCCACTGCGTATAATTGTGTCGGTAACAATGGGTGACCATTCAGAATAACCATGAAAGGCTAACAGCCATTTCCTATTGGCCGAATACAGAGGTACCATTGACTGCACTATCTCTGTGTCAGACGAGGTCTCCACCGATTTATATAGGCGAACCCGAGACCCAAACATCGGAAGACCATGTCTGTCAGTCAGTTTCTTTGTGCTTCCTTACCAGATCATGGGCTGGTCACCCCTCGGTTTCACTTACAGCTGCCCTTTGTTGTGGCAGTCAGTGGCTAAGCTTCCAAAGGCATGACCAAGCTAACACACACGATTCT